TTGTTGAAACCCAGTTTGCTGAGTGCACGATTGCCAAATCAAAAACCATGAATCTCAGTTTGCCGAAACCCACTTTGCCGAAAGTCAATTAAAAGCAGTGAAACAAGAACAACTGCATAAAATTGCGGCTTATTGTATTTATGATTCTTTTTAATTCATTCTCTAAATCAAACTTTAAAAACAAATCGGCTATTAGCAAAAACAAATTGAATTAAATAGGTCTATCAGATAAAATGTCTTATAAGCATATTTATGATATAAAGTTTAACTAAGATATCCCCTGTCGTCGCAATAAAGGGAGGAGAATAACCCATAACTTGCAGCGTCATTGTGCTGAATTGCATATGGGCGTGGTCCGTGACTACCTAGCAGCCGTAAAGAGGCGCTTCTTGGTAGATACATGTTCGCATTATTCCAAAACGACAGGGGCTGAAATGAACCATAACATCGGGGTAACCCCCAACCCTTCCGAAAGATGCAATGGGTTCTTTAAAGCACACGAGCCAGATGTATACAATGTTACAATCAGAAAATTAGAATTTTGAAGAACATAAAAGTCATTAAATCACACTTCAAATGTCGGGAAAGCTCATTCTCGCTATCTACGAATTAAAATTTTCCCGGGGGAGAACCCCCGGATCACCCTTTCTTTTTGGGATTTATCGATTCATGGAAAAAAGAATACACATGCAACTACTCATTTATTTATGTAGGCCTATGTATACACACATAAAATAAAAAATGAGAAAAATTTACCTGACCATTTTCAAGAGGGGAAAACCTTGAATTTTGAAGAACTTAAAAGTCTTTTAAAAGACATTTCAGAAGTCAGGGAAGGTCATTTCCCGCATTCTAGAAATCGAAATTTTCCCGGGGGAACCCGGACCCCTTTTTTCTTTGGGGTTCATTGGTTCTATTGAATCATTTTCAAGAGGGCGGGATATCAAAATTTTCCCGGGGGAGGATCCCCCTTTTTTTTTAGCTTACCGATTCATTAAAAAAAGAATAGTATGCAACTACTAATTTTTTTAATTTTTATGTAGGCCTATGTATACACACATAAGGCCTATTTCCTGTAATTAAAATGGGAAAAAATTACCTGACCGTTTTCAAGAGGGGGAGCCTTGAAATTTGAAGAACTTAAAAGTAATTAAGACACCTCAGAAGTCTGAAAAACTCATTTCCCGCCATCTAGGATTCAAAATTTTTCCGGGGGAGAACCCCGGATCCCCCGCTCCTTTTCTTTGTAGCTTATCGATTCATTGAAAAACATTGGAACATCAAACCCTCGTCGAGCAAATACCTGAGCACCACGACCGATGTCCCCGACCAAGGGGCGATGTCCCCGATGGAAAGGCCGATTTTCCTGACGGCAAAGTGGGCGGGGACAGGATCCGGCCAAGCACAACTCAGAGGGGATCTAAAGAGCGAATCACATGGAAACTCCAACGATTAGGGATTTGAAAGGCTTATTAATCAATTAGAGGTTTTTCTCCCCAGACAAATTGTTCTCCCAGACATGGGAGGGAGAACCCTTGGTACCCCCACCGTTGACGCAAATCCCCTTTTCCCGTTTAAAGCAAAAGTCTGTGATCAACCAACTTGCATTAAATACTATTAAGATGATAAACTTTGCCATTTACATGAGAGTTCTTCAACTACTGAGGGCTTTCCTTCTCCCCTCTCATATCGTACCGGCGGCGCCAGCGGGGGGGGGGGTGGGGCTTATAGTTCCCCGACCAGACATGTCAAGCCCCCCACCCCCCCTTGGACAGAGCTCGTCGGGACATTGGAAAGAGCTCGTCGGGCAGTCAGAGTAAAAAAGATATAAAAATAGGTCCATACGCCAAGCCAACACATAGCCTATGTCTGTTACAGTCTGCGAGTGTCATTTCTGGCCATCCAGAGGTTCCTATTCTTAAAAATATATCATTATGGAGGAGGACCCCTCTAAAACCCTTTCCCCAGCTCAGGTATACAAGCTCAAGTCCCCCAAGTTGGACAGCTCAGCCCCCACCCCCCAGAAAAATAGAGCCGCCAATGAGTGTACCCCTTCCCATCGTACCTCTCCCGGAATCCCATCAGAGGCATCAAGTTTCTCTTGGGTCTCCTATAGATACCTGATATACAGTAGATTCCTGGTTACGACAGCCTACAAATTATGTAGGTATGCTTAGAGTATTATCAAATCTATTCAGTTTAGCTTCACTAAAATGACTATAACTTTTTTTTTCCAGAGGATTGACTGGGCCCTACATGTAAGAAGTCTAATTACGTTTTAAAAGGATAGTTACAAGTTTCCACAAACATATTCATGCCTAACTCATTTCACAAAACAAACAACTAAGCCGCTGAAACATGGGCCAGTTGACGTTGAACCTGCGGGAAAGTAGTCTAAAAAATGTTTAATTATTTTGTTTACGTGCCTCAGCCCCACCATGGTTGGGGCTGAGGTAAGAAAATTTGTGATTACTGGCACCTCTAGATGGCCGGAAATTACACTCTTAGACTTAAAATTTGAATATAATTTTCCTTATCTCCATTAAAAAAAAATGAATTAGCCTCCCCCTCCCCTTGAACGCACCACAGATTTCCGAACAAAGTCGAAGTCGAGATTGCTTCCACGACCTCAATGAATTATTTATTATGAGGGTTATCCTTGATATGGGTTCCACTACGAAAACTTCACTTTTCCCCCTTCTATGTAGCTCAGAAATGATACTCCAACTGTGGCGGGTCCAGAAAGTCGAAATAGAGGGGTTCCAGGGAGAGTCTTGCGTAAATAGAATGTCCACCCGCCTCAGCCCCACAACTGTTGGGGCTGAGGTAAGAAAAAATATTATTATGGCACCCCCCAGAAAAATAGAGCCGCCAATGAGTGTACCCCTTCCCATCGTACCTCTCCCGGAATCCCATCAGAGGCATCAGGTTTCTCTTGGGTCTCCTATAGATACCTGATATACAGTAGATTCCTGGTTACGACAGCCTACAAATTATGTAGGTATGCTTAGAGTATTATCAAATCTATTCAGTTTAGCTTCACTAAAATGACTATAACTTTTTTTTTCCAGAGGATTGACTGGGCCCTACATGTAAGAAGTCTAATTACGTTTTAAAAGGATAGTTACAAGTTTCCACAAACATATTCATGCCTAACTCATTTCACAAAACAAACAACTAAGCCGCTGAAACATGGGCCAGTTGACGTTGAACCTGCGGGAAAGTAGTCTAAAAAATGTTTAATTATTTTGTTTACGTGAAGTCTAATAATAAGGTTATATATTATACTTCGCGTCAAGTGAATTGTTTTCTCATAGGATATGTTGCAGAGAGTTGAGCATCTTGGAAGAATCAATAATTTTTTATTGTTACTGTTAGCTAATAATAGGGAGGGTATTTTCACAGATAGAAGATCCATACCACCTCAGCCCCACCATGGTTGGGGCTGAGGTAAGAAAATTTGTGATTACTGGCACCTCTAGATGGCCGGAAATTACACTCTTAGACTTAAAATTTGAATATAATTTTCCTTATCTCCATTAAAAAAAAAAATGAATTAGCCTCCCCCCTCCCCTTGAACGCACCACAGATTTCCGAACAAAGTCGAAGTCGAGATTGCTTCCACGACCTCAATGAATTATTTATTATGAGGGTTATCCTTGATATGGGTTCCACTACGAAAACTTCACTTTTCCCCCTTCTATGTAGCTCAGAAATGATACTCCAACTGTGGCGGGTCCAGAAAGTCGAAATAGAGGGGTTCCAGGGAGAGTCTTGCGTAAATAGAATGTCCACCCGCCTCAGCCCCACAACTGTAAGAAAAAATATTATTATGGCACCTCTAGATGGCCGGAAATGGTGACTCTCAATGAAAGTTGAATACAATTTTGTTTGTTTTCTCCATTTAAAAAAAAAATAATAATTTTGGAAAAAATGGGATGGGGTCCCGTGCTGACTGGGTTTCCCCTTGAATCTGCCACTGTTCAATAGAACACTTGACATAGCCTACCATTTTGTTTCACAAATGATTAATTCCTAATGTCAAGCGAAAGATTTTTTTATTCGAAATATTTTGTTTTACTCAATACGGTTTTTACAACCTGTAACACATTAACTACAGTCTACTGTAAATCCTGTAGTTAACATTCAGACAACTTTTAAAAAAGTGGCCTAATAAGTATCTTATTGTTTTCGTTAAATTAGAGTTTAAATGTGGTTATATTACGCTAGTTTGACGGTTTACTGTAAGCAAATCAGTTACACTTACTGTATTATACATCTTCGTGTTTAGCATAAAGAGAACTAGAACGTCGCTCCATTAAGAGTGCCTACCTCCCCTCATATGCCTAAATACAGAATTCATGAATGCAGGCGATTTTGTCTGCATGCTCGAGGGTGGGTTTCAAGGAAACTTTACAGACGCACGTGTACAGACGTCAATCAACATTCGGTTGCTCAACTCAAAAACTTGCAATGTTCGTTAGAAAATGAAAAAAAATCTATATTTTATAATAATAATAATAATAATAATAATAATAATAATAATAATAATAATAATAATAATAATAATAATAGGTCAATTTATAAGGCGCTAATAAACAAGGTGTACGAAATAACAATAATAATAGTAATATTAATAATAATGATGATGATAATAATAATAATAATAATAATAATAATAATAATAATAATAATAATAATAATAAT